ATCATCTGCAAACTTAGCCAGAATGTCCTTAGTTCCTTCATCTAGATCATTAATGTTTAAAGTGAAAAGTTGTGGTCCCAACACTGATCCTTGTGGAACACCATTGGCTGCCATCCTGAGAAAGACGCTTTTAACTCCACTCTCTGCTTTCTGCCAGACAGCCAATCTTCTATCCATGCTAGTATGTTGCTTCTAACACCATGGGCCCTTATCTTACTCAGCACCCTCCTGTACGGCACCTTGTCAAAGGCATTCTTGAAGTCCAGGTGGATAACATACCTACTTTTACCTAATGCAAACTTGACCAAAATCATAAGGGGACAGATGGGGCGAATTCTCCACCATAGTAATCCTGATATGTGAATAAATTAAGGCCTGGTATACACTCAGCAGAGATACACCGAGTCAGACTAAAAGAAATGGGAGCAGGAATAGGCCACTTTAGCCAAGCCCAGCATTCAAAAAGATCAAGGCTAATCTGATGGATCTTTGTAGACTATTACCCGACCTCTTTATTCCCTTATTACCCAAATTTATTGAGAGAAGAATCTAATACTCATTCTCAGTCTCTCTTAAGATTGCGATATGGCCCCTAATCCTAAACTCCCAGCCAATGGTTATACCCTTCCAGTATTTACAAAATCAATCCCTTCAATTCCATTCTCACGTTTCTAAACCCCAGGAAGTAAAAGTTTAGACTACTCAAACACAGTCCATTGAAACTTTATCATGCTCTCTTTAAAGCAAGTGCTGTCCTTCCTTAGACAAGAAAAGCAAAACTCTACACCATACGTAAGGTGTCATTTCATCAAGAACATAATTGCAGGAAGATATATTTACTCTTAAATACCAATCCCTTTGTAATAAAGGTTAACCTAACATTTACTTTCCTATCTGCATGCTGGATCAACATGTTACTATATGTGATTTAGGTACATGGAGAAGAAGCTCTCTTTGAATCTTCATCTATCCAAAATCATTTACAGCCCATTTCTTCATAAAATTGTGTTGTCAGCAAATTTCACGTACTTAGTCCTCTCATCTAAGTCATTTAGGCTGTACATAGCAGAAGACCAAGCACTGATCCTTGCAGTACTACAACCTGAAAAATGACTGGATTCATTCCTACTCTTTGTATCATTTAAACAACCTGAATTCATGTTAATATATTGCTCTCAATCGCTGAGCCCTAACTACATGCAACCACCTCTTGTGTAGCACCTTGTGAATGCTTTTTGAAAATCCAAAAGCACTACATTCATAGATTTCCCTCATCAATCCACTAATTATAGCTTCAATCAGATTTGACAAACATATTTTTTCTTACCCTAATTTGTACTGATTTCCAAATCTTAATACGATTTTATGATGTCAAGGCATTCAGGTCACTAATGCTCATTGAACCACTGATGGGTTTTCCAAATAAGAAAATTTGCAGAAGGTTGATTTTCATTATAAATCCATGTGTTCTTAAATAATAACTTTATACTGCCCTCTTACTCAGAGGTCTGGTGTCTGCTCACCTGAATTTTGGGCCAATGCAAGTTTGAGGTGCTTGGAACAGACAGAATTGTTCAGTTCCATTGGTGTTCTCCAGGCCGAATGACTCGTGAAACAGAATATCTGAGCATTATTTGAAGACCGCAAATGGCTATAATTATAGGTCTGGAAAGAGGTATCTCTATGTCATATGGAAGAGAAAGAAAATTCATTTAGGATAATAATTTATGGGTATAACCTTCTGGTATGTGTCTACTAACTAACAAAAAGTTTGAATATTTTTGACAGTGGGTTGTCTTGAATTGACTTCCACTTTTGGGCAAACCATTTTTGTATAAGGATAAGTATGCATAAACCTGATGCTTTTATTCAACTTGATACATAAACAAGCAAAAAAGTACTGAAGCTGGCAATGCAATATTTTAAAACAAGGATAGCATTCTTGAAAGTCAGTTCGGGGACATTAAAGAAATCCTTTTAAACAAAAATATTAAATATTCTTCTGGCCTTTTCATGGTGTAACTTTTCCTCAACAAGTTACAAAATAGATTCTGATCACAAATTCAGAGTTTTTCATCCAGTTCACAGAGATTGCTTGGAAATACTATTTTTTTCTCCCATTGGGTAGAAGATTGCAATCTTAGCCAACCATTGGTTTCAGTCTAATGCTCTCCAAACTACAAAGTTATTGATTGATCAATGGGACATTTGATTTCTAAATGAAGAGGGTTAGTTGTTTCTATCAGGAGAACCAAGTCAAAAAACATAACTTTACATATTAGGTGAGTTATAAATTCATGTCTTTCACTTATCAAAACTGCACTGAACACCAAACATAGAAAGATCATCCTGAAATGCTCTAATTAAGGAAAAGATGTGAATATGGGAATAAGAGAAGAAAACTTCCATTGAAAAGCACCTGTCACAAGATTAGAAGATATCAAAGTGCTTTGTAGCCTTCAATAAATAATCTATCAAAGTGTAGCCATTATTGTTACATAGAAAATTTAGCGGCTGAATTGCACAGCATATTCCCGTGTATTGACATAAACTCTAAATCAAATAAGTTGGTTTAGTGATGCTAATTGAGAGATAAGTTCTAGTTAGAATACCTGGTCACCTTCACTATTTTTGTTAACTTTAAAATTGCAAACAGGGCATCAATTTAACATCTCAGCTGAAGGACAACACTGACATTTTGTACTCTACGCTGAAGTTCCAACCTAGTTTCTGTGCTCAAGGCTCTGAATTACATGTCAACACCCAAGATTCTGACTCAAAGGGAAGAAGATTACTACTTCAGTGGATCAGAATATTGGATGGGCATGTAACTGCCATTCAATGTGACACTACTCATTTTGCAGTACTGTGTAAGATGAATCTTTTCTACCATTATATTTCCATTAACCCTAGAATGATTACTCAAAAATAAAATTAAATGAAAGAAGTTAACAACAGCAATTAAGGAAAAAAATACACAACAGGGTTTGGACACTTTGAAGTGCAGAATTAGCAATTCTAGCAGAAAACATGTAAACATTTAATATTGAGCCAAGTCTTGCTGGAATGAGAGATTTCACAGAACTCTTCAAACGTAAAAACAAGTAACTTAGTGGAATTGAGGGGTTATAACTGTGTGCAGAGCAAGGAGAACCTGAGGCCTTGCTGAATGCTGTGATCAACAGTGTAAATCCTTAATGAAAAAGATTAAAGAATTGGGAAAGAAACCAAAGAACAATGAGGATGTATGAAATAATATGGATTAACTCAATTTCAAATCAGTTGCAAAAAGAGAAATAAAGAGAGGGTATCTTAGTTTAAAAAGAAAATACAAAGAAATGGAAAGGGAAAAAAAATGAAATTCACACCTCCACATTTTAAAAAGAACCTTAACCAATTGAATACACGCATTGAGAGTGAACAGTTTAAATGCATTGTTTAAAAAAATTTCAATACATTGGCGAGATGAAACACAGACCTGGCGATTGTTTTGCTGAGCATCTAAGTTCTCCACAAAAATGACCTTGACCTTCCAGTTGCCTGCTACTTCCACATACCACTGTGTTCCCTGGCCAACACTGCCATCTCGGACATGCTGCAGTGCTCCAACAAGGCTCAGCACAAACTGGAAGAACACCATCTCATTTTCCACTTGGGGACTCTGCAACCTTCAGGACTCAATATCAAGTTCAACAATTTTAAAGCCTGAACGCCACTTTCTACATCTTTTACTCACCCTCACACCCCAGGCCCTGTACGGCATGGGCAGCTTTCAGCACAGCTAATCCTACTTATGGTCTCCATTATCAGTTTTTAGTTTTCCCTGGCTTACTTTTATCTATCCCTTTGTATGCCTGTCATTCTCTCTCTCTCTCCAGGCTGCATCTCCATCTATCTACTCACTCCTTTTCCCCTCACTACCTATCCTCATCTTACATATCACCTTTTCCTAGTTACTATCAGTTCTGAAGAAAGGTCACTGGGCTCTCAAAATTAACTCTGCTTTCTATCCAATGACACCACCAGACCTGCTGAATTTCTCCAGAAATACCTGTTTTAGTTCAAATTCCTCCCTTTCTAGGCTAGAGACATTGATTGGTTTTGCATTTATAATTATCACAACACTTTAAAATAAAACATAGTGTTCAGTTTGAGCCTACATTTTCTTTGGCAGATTTATTGGGCAATTCATCCGGCAGGTTTTTAAAAATAATAAGGAAGTCAAAGGTAAGTTGCAATTTGTGCTAAGCAAATGATGAAGTGGCATAACACGAGAGCAAGTTCTGGAGATTTTTAATTTCGGGCAGATTTCTTACTCCACTGAATTTGCTGGAGAATTTGCAAGCTAATACTGTGTCACTAATACCACCACAATTTTTTTTTGGCAAGATCCTGGCCAACAGGTTAAATTGAAGGCAAGAGAAATAAAGCAATGAGAGAAAGGCGGGTTATTGGATTAGAGCTACTGTTCATGTGTAACAGGACATAAATTTATCCAAATGGCCTGTCTCTGCAAGATAATTTCTTATTACGAATGGAAAAGAAGTCTTGCAAATTTCAAACCACAAACCACAGCACCAAAATATATTTCACTGAACTAATTCACTATACAAAAGACTTAAATAAAACACAACATAAGAATGCAAAATAAAAGATAACATGCGGGTTAGTTTAAAACATTTTCATAGCAAAACAGGATGTAAATAATGTTTAATTAATGGCACTTACATGCTGTAATTAACACTGCAAGTATAAGTACAGAAACAAAACAACATCTGTTCTGTAAAATGTATTTATTAAAATAAAAAAAGTTAAAAAAAGGTGTTTTACATCAAGTAGTAGCTACCTAACAAAACAAGATACAAATAATGTAAGCTGTTAAAACCCAAATAATAACAAAACAACTAAAACAGGAACATTCCACAAATCAATGGTAAGGAATAAATATAAAACAGCAAATAAACAAAGTGAAATAGCTCATGCAGATATATGAATGCTTTTAGATAAAGCTGCAAGAATCCTTTGCTGCTTTTATATATATCAAATTACATAAACTTCTGTAAACCTTATAAAATGACGTAGCAGCTCCCGCGGAATTACAAATAATTTGTTTGGATTATGTTTGCTTTTAATAATTATTTACAATGTGGTACAAGCTCTAGTTTCTGATGATCATGTCTAATTTTGCCACAGTATAATCCCTTGATTTTAAATGAAGAGAAGTGGGTTGAGGGACAAAAATCTCAGCTGAAGAAGCTGTAACTTTAATGGCATAGAGTACTGACATATAAGCCAGTAGGCTAAACACCATCATTAACAATTAATATGAAGAAGTGATCTGAAACCAGAAATAAAATTTTATCTAAGAACTATGTACGTATTACAATTCCAGTTTTGAAAACAAAATCTTCTATCAGAACATGCACTGAAAAAAGTTTAACAACATTCATTCGTTTTTAATTTTAAAAAAGATGTTATTCCTAATGAAGTAGCCTACAGTTTAAATTCTCTATTGTCTTTGTTTTAAATATAGCATACTTTGAGAAAAGTTATTTGGTCAAACCTGCTGCATTTTCTACAGCAGACAGCAAAGAGATCCCTGAAGGTTCATTTAGTCCACTAGTTATCAGGAAGTACTACACAGCCAGTATTCGTAGAAGGTCAATTGGGAACCTCTAAGAAAAATCTCATTTTCTTGCAACATATACATGAGCCATTTTCTGACAGGTGACCCATCAATGTATATCTATGTTAATAATCTGTGCGACAGCATGCTTCACACCTCCAAGTAACCATCCTTCCTGCTGGAAAAACAACAAACAATAACAGGCTCTTTTCAAAGCATAGTTGAGAACCTATGATTCAACCACGTGACAAGTAACATACAACAGAAGTCTTATTTAACGCTCAATAGTAACAATGTATAAAGTGGTACAGGTACTGTGTATTTTCTTTCTAAAATGGCCGTGATCAAGCTTGGATATACTCAAATTTCTGCTGATTGTATGAGATGTTTTGCTAGATGCATCGAACCAGTAAATTAAACTATAACGCCATCAGTTATGGTGCATGAAAGCCCATTTCACAATTATTTGGTGAATGCTTAGCCTGGGTGGTAATATTGAACATGGCAATATATTTCACATTCCATGTGGTGACAACTGAGATGCAGGTTGAGAAAATGCTGATTTGTAGTATTTGAGCCAAGAATGCACCCAAGGATCTATCTTATATTGCAACTCAATGCACCAATATTATTTCTTTTTACATGTTGCACTTGGTTGAAATACGAATGCCAACTTGATTAAAATGTTTTTAATTAATCTTTAACAGTCACATATCTTTTTGAATTCACCATGGTTCTTCGGAATAAATATGAATCAAAACAAAAGACAGTGATTCTGAGAAGGATGCAAAGTGCATCCACTTGACTAGAATGGTTAAGTCTTAAATCTCCATAGACAATGGAAGTTGAGCCTCATTAAAATTGAGCTGGTATTGTACAACTGCCAGCAAATACAAGAGCAGAAAATCTGACTGTTGCTAACGTCACAGTCACCTTCAGGTTAGTGGGCTCTTAACACTGGTATATAGGTGTAGTACACATGCCACAAGAGGGAATAAAAATGAGCATTTTAATCAAAACTGTCAAAATAATACCTGAACACACGCCAATTCTAACTTAACTGCACTCACTATCAGGTTATTAAAATAACAATATTAATGACATCTGCATATGTATTAGAAGGCAGTCATTAAATTAATGCCAAATGCATGCATAAATTGCAGAATGAGGAGAAAAGCATACTTTGAGCTTGAAATTAATAAATTATCCATCTAAAGACTTCTCTAATCTTAGCTGTATAATTGAATACTGAATTGTAGATGTACAGTTTTGAATTATGGCCAGTTTCCAACGTCACCTCTATCAACATAATAAATTGTTGGAGGGGTCATTTGGCTCTTCAAGACTACTGTTCAACTGGATCATGGCAGATTGGCCACATCAATTCCACCTTCTTGTCTATATTTTCATATATTTCTTCTCTGATATTTCTCGGAATCCTAAAATCTAACTTTGTCTACTATGAAGATATGAACAATTGATTTAACTCTCTCTGGAGCAGAGAATTAGCAAGATTCAACCCGTCTTTTGAGACAAGCCATCATTCCTTGTTTCCACTCTAAATGGATTACCCTGAATCTGAGACTGCAACCCCTCATCTCGACAGCCAGGTTAAAATTCAAACCTGTAAAGCACCTGAAGAATTCAATACGTTTGAACTGGACCACATTTCATTACCTTAAGTTGTAAGATATATTAGCCTAGACTACTCAACATCTCATATTATCAATTGGAGTTGGTGCTCACCTCTGAAATCTTTTTGCCTCTTTTGGAGGTATTGTCTGGGGGAGTGGTTTGTTGCTATTCAAACCAATATCATGAACTGGAGAATTTGGAATTGGTTCCAGGCGATTATGCTGATGTTGCCCATTTCCTCCTCCAGCAGATTCCAAAGCACTAAGATTAGGGGCACTGACAAACCGATTGGCAATTCTTTCATTCTTTTTCTTCTGTTGCACAGAAACAGGAAAATTTCATAAAAATTAATTCCAATGAAAATTCAGTTAAGTTTATTAAATTTACAATGTAAATATTTGATTATAAAAGTGTTCAAATTGAATGTAATAAGCACAAGCTATGAGTAACTACAGAATACTAAGCTGATTACAAAATAAATACCCCTTGGAGACAAACCTTAGCTAGAGGATTGATAACTCCTACGTTAGGACTAGCATTAAAAACCTTGTTGAAATTTGTTTCTCTGTTCACCAGTTCCAGCTGGTAAAATTTTTTGTCATCCTGTTAAAAGTAAATATCAAAATTTAAAACATGCATTCTATATCTATGCCTTTTCACAACTTGCATTGACATCCTTGAACACAATACAACATTTTAAATACTTCACTTGAGCTCAGTGAGACAAAAATTAACACCAAGCCTCAGAAAAAGGTATTAGGACAAAAACTTGGGCAATGAAATAGGTCATCGATTTAGTCATTGACCATAAGATGGTCTTAAAGGGGCAGACGAAGGAAAAGAATCATACAGTACAGAAGAGGCCTTTTAGCCCATTCAGTCTGCACGGCCAAAAATACACCAAATCTACATTAGTCCCACTTTTCAGCACTAGGCCCATGAGCCTTGAATGTTACTACCCTTCAAGTTCTCGTCCAAGTACTTTTTAAAGGTTGTGAGGTTACCCACCTCAACTACTCTTCCAGGCAGTGCCCTCCAGACCCTTACCTCTCTGGTTGAAAATGTTCCTCCTCAAGTCCCCTCTAAACCTCTTGGTTTTCAACCTGAAAATCATGCCCCCTTGTTAGTGACTCTTCAATTAAGATGAACAGCTGCTGTCTAACTACCCTGTTCATGCCTCTCCTCTCATAATTTTATACACTTCTATCAAGACCCTCAACTTTTCCGCTCCAAAGAAAACAACCCGAGATTATCCAGCTTCTCTTTGTAGCTGAGACGCTCCATCCAAAGTGACATCCTGGTGAATCTCCTCTGCACCACCACCAGCACAGTCACCAGAACTGCATATAATACTCAAGTTGTGTCTTAAACAAAGTCCTGTACAGATCCAACATAACCTCCTCATTCTCCTCCTGTCACCCAGAACCTTCATCTACCTGTCAACTCCCTGGTCAATCTCTTTTATCTGCAAAACTACTTACTACCTCTTCCTCATTCTCATCTATATCGTTTATATGCATCATAAATAATAAGGGACCCAGAATTGATCAGTCACACAAACAGCTTCCTCCCTCCACCCTCTGCCTCTTCCTACTAAGCAAATTTTGGATCCAACTGGCCAAGTTACCCCGGATCCCATGTGCCTTCACTTTCTTTATCATTCTCCCATGTGGCACCTTGTCAAAAGTCTTACTGAAATCCACGTAAACTACATCAACCGTACTACTCTCATCTACATGCTTGGTCACCGCCTCAAAAAAATCCAACCAGATTTGTTAGGCATGATATCCCTCTCGCAAAGCCAAGCGGACGGCCCCTGGTCAAACCTTGCCTGTCTAAGTGGAGATTAACATGCTCCTTTAAAATTTTCTCCATAAGGTTCCCTACCACTGATGTGAGACACATTAGTCAATAGTTCCCTGGTCCATCTCTACCACCCTTCTAGATACTCTCCTCAATCCAACTGTTTAGAAGAACGATCCATGATCATTTTGAAACATAAAAGATTCAGAGGGGGCTGGACAGAGTTGATGTTGAGAAGATGTTTCTTTTAATGGGGGCACGTCAAACTCCAGACACAGTTAGAGAATAAGAAGACATTATTTAAAATTGAGTTGTGAAGGAATTTCTTCTCTGAGAGGGTAGTGAATGTTTGGAATTCTCTATCCCAGAGAATTGTGGAAATCATGGAAAGCCTTGATAGAGAAGGTGGAAAGACTTTTGAAATATCAGGGAGCTGAGGACCATGCTGAACCGGTAGAAAGAGGAGTTCATGCCTGAGATAGAACAGCCATGATCTTATTGAATAGTGGGGCAGGCTTGAGGGGCTGTATGGCTTATTCCTGCTTCTATGTTCTCAAGGGCAGTGAAGGATGGGCAATAAGTGCTAGCCTAGCCAGCAGCACTCGTTTCCTATGAATGAATTTTTAAAAGTCCACAAGAACCTAGGAGAGAAAATATAGTTCTATTATTTAATTTTCCATATTGCAGACTACAATCTATTGAGGAAAGCGTCATCATTCATAAATAAACATTTTTAGACTTCTAGAAACTGATCAGCTCTTGTCGACAGTTCTTGACAAGTTGGACAGTTCTCAGGGTTTATGCACCATTTACACGCAATCTTCTCCACAGTTAACATTTCAAGATATCCCAGGACCATTTTAACAGGGTATCCTAGCTATCCAAAAGAAATGCATGGAGAACTGACCCGCTTTAAAACAGCCTAAACCTCCGCACTCCAGGGACTCCAAAATCCCATTTCAGTGAAGGTAGCTTTAAGTGAAGGTCATTTAAGTGGCCAGTTGTCTCCGGGAACTGCACGTGCATGAACTACAGACTGCCTCCAAACCCACCCTTGTGAAAATGAGAGCTGACCGGTTTGGGGGAAGGAGTGCAGCTCCCGAGGTCTTATGACACTTTTGTCATGGCTGAGATCCTGATTTTCCTGGCAACCTTCAGAGCTTAGTTTGCCCAATATGTAATTGGTCATGAACTCAATTTAAAAGTCACCTATTGATTAACTGCATTTTAAACTTTGAAAGTTAAAATTTATGTTGAAAAATCAGACTTGAATAGCAAAAATAAAACTTTGCCTCACTTCTTCTAACATAAATATAAATTATAATTTTGATTCTGGACCAGAAGATCAGAATTTGGCCTATTAAAATACTGTACAATGAGATAATTAATAAACACTTTTTTTTTCTTGGCTATAAGTCAGACAATACATTCAAAGCTATTAATTATTCACCATCAGTTTTTTCGCAAGCTGATCTCTTTCTGTGATCATTTCCTTTAATTCAGTGATTAACTGTAAATCCTCTGCTCTGGACTCTCTGTTACTGTATTTTTCTTCAGCCTCTTCCAATCTGGAACAATACAACAATATTATAGGCCTTCTGCATTTTGCACTAAGGTTAAGATCGTTCAGAACATGCTGAATCCACACTTTCTATTTTACGTGCAGGAAAATCAATACATCAGTTAGAAAGAAAGCCAGCACAAGGCGATTCACGAAAGCGTAGAAAACAGATGCACTTTGACATGAATTTTCATTCAATCATGCAGCACAGTGGGAAACCACTCAGCTAATCAGGTCTGTGCTGGCCAAAAAAGGAGCCATCCAGCCTAAATTCATTTTCTGATTTTTGGTCTGTTACAACTTATGATCCTTCAAATGCATATCCAAAATACAGGTAATATTGAAATGTTAAAGGTTAGCTTCTTCCAACCTTTCAAAAGAAAGTTGCATCATGCTCTGTGGGAAAGAAAATTCCTTTAAATTCCCTCTAAACCTCTTATATTAAGCTACGTTCCCTGATTACAGATTTCTCAAAGAGAGTAGGGCCTTCTTATCCACTATTTCTGGAGCTTTATAAAGTACAATTTTTGAATCTTCTACAGATATACAGTAAATTGAAGATATCTATACATTGGGGTAAACAAAATCCATTCTATAACATCAAAAAGCCTGACAGTAAGGATCTATATTTCTGCCTTTTATTAAATCACTTCCTTTCCCATTTCCTCTCTTTTCCCATTTCTATACCATTTTTCCCTTCATCTTTACATTTTCTGATGATCCTGGTATGCAGGAACTAGATTATTATCATAGGCTCAGACCACTGCAAAGATCAATGCCAGGGTACAAGAACACAGCAGTGCAATTTACTGAGCTGTCAAATTGCATGTGAGGTTCAACACAAAAAGAACTGAATTCAAAGCCAAGGCTTTTGAAACAAAAGAAACTTCAGAATCATAATATTTCAAGTATTATAAGAGGAAATAAGCCTATAAGAAATAGCAACAGGAGTAGGGAGTTCAGCCCCTCCAGCCTATTCCACCATTCAATGGGATCATGGCTGATCCAAAAATCCATATATCCATTTCCTTGCACTTTTCCTCAACTGATCAAGAATCTCTCAGCCTTAAACAAAATATATTTGGGAAATAAGTGAATGCAATAAAACTTTAAGGAGTTGTTCTCATAATTATTGAATATTTTCCCAAGTCATGTTACTACAGGTTTCCTAAATAAGGGGAAGATTGCAAAATTACAAATTATAAGGTGAAAAGGATTTGCTATAACGACTGACTGAAATCTTCATTTAAACAAATCAGGTGCAAAACCAAATAGCCATTCAAAGGCTAGTTGGGAAGGACGCAAACAATGGAACTTTTACTTTTTTTTGTTTGCGCAGATGATTCATTTCAGAGCACAGCTCGACTGTATTTTAAGTGGCTCACTTGTGTGTGACCTAAATGGGGGATTTACAAATTGCTGTGAGGCCTCATTGCTTACAAGTAACTTTGAAGGTGGGGGGTTAAAATGCACTAATAAGATTGTTTCGTGATTGAGAATTTTATGAAAAATATGTTGAAACATTTACAGATCATTTGGTCTTTCAGTAAAGGTGAAAATAAAGACATCAATGTCATTTGTCCTCCATTAACATGTCTCAAGACTATTTTCTCTCTGTTTGCATTGACATATCTGATAACGAGCTGGGAGTAACTAAATGCTACTTTAGTTTTTCATCATATATAATGGCACATAAAACTGTTGCACTTTAAAGTGTTAGTTGCCAAAACCTGACAGCAGCAATATTGTCTATAAAGATTTAAAAGCAACATACTGTGGATTTAATCTTCTTTCTAACTGTGAAAATTTTAGCTATGATCTGGATTAGGACTATTATTGTCTACGCTTATGTAAAGGCAAGTGCTGGTGAGAGAAGACTGAAAATATTTGCCTTGGAAGTATCAACTTCCTTTACCAATTTTATTCCAGCTAACAAATGTAGTAATTACTAACCTTAGCGCAAGGTGATATTGCAAATGATAAATTACAACACAAATTAAAATAGAGAATTTCAATATTATACAGAATATAAGCACAGCAACAAAATCATTTTGTCCAATTGCTTGTATGTATCCTTGTTTATGTTCTTCCAACACTAGCTCATCTAAGCTGATCAATGTATTTGTCTATGCATTTCTCCCTCATCCAGCTTCTTCCTTCATGGTGATAGTTCAGTGTGTGGTACAGGTATTATGTACAGAAGGATACTGCCACCAATCCTTCTTCCTTTGACTGGGTCTGAGGACTTGATTAGTTTACAGTGATAGAAGATCAACCACTATCAACTACCAAGAAGAGGCTCTTGCCTGAATGAGATGTGATTATTGCATGATAGCAACTAGGTACCAATTTCTTTAGGATGTTGAACATTGTCATAAATACAATGATGTAAAATATGGATATAGATCTTCACAAGATCTAAAGACACTCAGCATTTGTCTCCTACTTAATCCCACCAAAGAAAACAAATGAAGCTGAATAAGAAGTTGGCATCTGAGCTCCAACTCTTCTGCCCAATAGGTTCTCCAAGTGGAGACATTACAGTGGCTGTCTTGTCAGTCAGTCGGCTAAAATAACAGCTGGATCACAATGAGGTCAACAGTGCTGAATCTGCATATTTAAACAAGGACCTTGTGGATTGGATGGGGTGTCCTCCGTCACTACTCAGAAGAGCAGGACAAATGGAATGCAGCATGAAGAAAGCACAACACTGTTAGATAAGACTTCCAGCCAATTTTTCAAGTCTGCCAGCATAAATCAAGTGAGCAGGATTAAAAATCCCATTAAAGACTATAATCATAGCAGCATTAATAAGACTAAGTTGCATCATGTTAGAGTAATCCTCTATGATCTTCCACCTATGACTTAGGTTTAAATTCAGTCAAAATGATTTATAAAAAAAGGGTTCTCCTTGCTCACAGTAACAGGAGTTTTACAAAAAATTCAATTGCTAATTTATACCAAATCAAATATACAGGAAAACAAAGCAAAAAAAAACACATTCAGATCTGACACCAGTTTGGCAATCTGTCAGAAAGAAGTTTAAACAAAAATAATCATCTGTGCACCTGGTATAATGTCAAGCTTGGTCTCCTTTTCACAAGGTGCTAATGCATGCTTGGGTCTGACAAGATGCTATAATGTCTTAATGCCTTGCCAAGTGGTCATTACACAAATGTATGCTTGTATAGTGTATTGGAGGCTATTTCACGTGTCACTTAGAGAGGTGGTATATAAGAATGGAAATGGATGGCGTAGAACAAGTGAAACAAGGGAACATAACTATTGCAGCTAATTCAATACTCAAGTAGCATTCTACAAGCATTTCCCGTAGGTATCATTTGTATGGCAATGACTGCCTAAATTGATTTGTTTCCTTCCTGCAACCTGGATTAGTGCAGACATTAGAATGAGTCCAGGATCATTAAGTATTAGTCCATATTGCAAAAGAGATCAAATGGGAAACAGGTCTTAGTCTAATTTCAATTGTGAAAAAATCACTAGCATCTGTTATCTGGGACAGAGTACCTGAGAATTTGGACAAATACAAGCTGAAGAGACAGCCAAAGATTTATGACGATTAAGTCACATTAACAAATCTAACTGAATTTTTTGAGTAATTAACGAACATGATAGGCTGAGGCTGTATCTATTAATCTAACTTACCAGCACTTCCAGAATTCAACAAAGTTCCACATTAAATTCAGTTAATAAAAATAAGAGAACAAGGAACTGAACCCATTGGCTTTGTTAAGGAATTAGTTACAAGGTAGGTGCTGGAGAACAGAGGTAATGGATACTTAAATTGTCAGCATATGAAGAGTGGTGATCCCCAGAGATCTTTACTACTGTGTCAGACATTCACAACATTTTTAAATAGCCTGGTTGATGGAATAACAAGCTTATCTTCAGGTCTGCTGGTAGCACTTAAATGACATAGTAATTAGTGTGGAAAGGAGCAGCAAGTTGCAAAATAACTAAAAAGTTTAGACTAAACTGTGGTAGCTGGAGTTTAAAGTAGACAAGTACAAGGTCAACTACTTTTAATGTAAGATAGATCACAATACTTTTTAAGTGGTGAGGAATTAGAAACTGTAGAGGAGTAGCAAAATTAGGGGTCCAATGCAAAAGTCACTGAAATCTAGTCACCACATACAAATCAAAAGGCTTCTGGAATGTTCGATTTCATCTCAGGACAGTTGTAATACAAAGGGGTGGAAGTATGTTCTAAGTGTACAGAGTTATAGTTAAATCTCAATTAGAGTTTTAGGGTGCTGCACTTTGGGGAAAAATATATTGGCTTTGGAGAAGATTCAGCATTGATACATCAAGGTTGTACCAAGGTTAAATTAATTCAATAATGAAAACAGGTAGCATGCACTTTACTTGTATTTACTAAATGCAGGAAATTAAGTGCTGATGTAATTCAGTCACTTATCATGTTTAGCATAATTTATAGGGTGTTTTCAAAAAGTAACTATTTCCTTAAGAGGTACACTGCAGGCACATGGTCTTCAGATTAGTTGTTCAGATTAGATTTGTTCAGCAGAAAGTGGAAATCCTTCCTCCAAAAATGCTGTCAGGCTGGATCAAATCAAATTTTAAAAATAAAATCAATAGATTTTTATCAAACGAGTGTACTAAGATCTATGGATACTGAAGATTCAAATCAACCACACTTGGCTTGAGTGACTGAACGATCTATGCCTTCTCTGATATTTACAATAAGTTGCATATTCTCACAAATTGTGAATAAAAAATTAATTATTATCCTTCCTAATACTATAACTATTTGATTTAGGTTCAAAAACCAGTATTTAAAACGCTGCAAAACATACAAGATTTCCAGAGAAGAAATTTTATCCTTCAGGAGATCCTGTGCCTTGTTGAAGTCTGCTAGCATGCACTGTGTTTCCCGGATGTGGGTTGCAGTCATTTCATTTATCATCTTCTCCTGTTTCTTAACCATTTCCTGTTCATAGGTCCTGTTTAAAAAGAGACAAAGTGAAGCTAACGCCCAGTTTTACTTAATAGCCACTAATGTAAACCTAAATCTAAAATTATATCCATGCCCTTTTAACTTATTTTAAGTTGGTAGAATGCCTCAGGTAAATATAGAAAAAAAAGACGATGTAAAAAATTGCCTATACCTTTCATAAATCGGCAGGGCATGAACAGTCAAAACCTTCTCATTTCAACAATGTTTCTGTAATCTTTTCTTGCTTCAAGAGACCCGTTTACTACTTAATACCTCTGACTTTTACATTTATTATCTACTTAGGTTTTTGCTTTTTCCACTTATTTTAGTTGGACAGGTAAAGTTCAGATTTGATGCCTGATCTGTGTTCAGTTACAAAAACAGAAATTGTTGGAGAAACTCAGCAGGTCAGATAGCATCTGTGAATCCTTGGAAGGGTCACTAGATTAGAAACATTAACTCTGCTTTCTTTCCACAGATGCTGCCAAACCTGTTGAGTTTCTCCAGCAATTTCTGTTTCTGTTTCAGATCTTCAGCCTCCACTTTTCTTTGTTTTATTCTGGGTTCAGTTAGTTGACAGCTTGAACAACTGCAGGAGGTGCTACATTGTTTTTTAATTCGTTCGTGAGATTTGGGTTTTGCAGGATAGTCAGAAATTTATTGTCCATTCCAAATACCCTTGAGAAGGTGATGGTGAGCTGCCAGTGAGTTCCCGAAAGTTCTAGGCTGTGGACAGAAACTAACCAGAGTTCCATTACAGTCCTGACTCCTGCTTGCCCGAAACACATTATTGCCAAAGTTGCTTATTGGCGATGTCAGGAAAGCACAGAAAGAGGACTAACTTTTCAAAAGCACTTTCTTGTTAGTACCACCCTCCTGCTTTTTTCCAATAACCCTGAAATTTTTTCTCCCTTCAAACATTTATCTAATTCCCTTTTGACTGTTATTATTGAATTTCTCCTGTTACTATTGCTTTCATGACCATTTCAGGCAGTACATTGTGTATCATAACAACTGCATGAACTAACTTTTCTCAATGCCTCTATTGGTTCTTTTGCCAAACGTCTTAAATCTGTGAAGTCTGATTACAATGTGGCAAAATGTGAAGTTATCCACTCTAGTAGGAATATAAACAGAAGTTCTGAATGCTGGGAGACATGTATATAATCACAGAGACTTCGAATCCAGGTACTGTGAGCAATTAGAAAAGCAATAGAGTATTAGTTGCCTTGTGTCAAACAGATTGGATAATAAAGGTAAGCAGTTTTACTGTATTTACTTTGGCGAGATCAAAGCAGAAGTATCATATGCAGTTTTGTTTCTTCCCCAAGGAAGGGCATAATTGCTGCAGAAAAAATGCAACAAATGCTCATTAGAATAGTTCCTTGAATGACAGAATTGTCCTAGGAGGAGCTGTCCCAGGAATATATTTCCTGGAATTTAGAAGAATGAGGAAGGATCTGAAACATATTAAATACTTTCAAGCATGACTCAATAAATGCTGAGCAAATTTTTCCTCCACTTTTTGGAGACAATGGGATCACCGTCATAGAGTAAAGAACCCACCATTTCGAACTCAGATAAGGAGCAACAGCTTCACCAAAGAGTTGTGAATCTTTGGCATTCTCTACCCCAGAGATAATCAGTATATTTTTGCCTAGTAAGAAATTTAAAGGAGACAATGATTCTGCATGAGGTGGAACTTTGATTGATGAATAATTATGACCTTGCTGGAAAATAGAGCAGAGTCAGGAGCCCAAGTTGCTTATTTCAGCTCTCACTTCCAATGTGCATATGAACCTTATATCACTGGAAATAGTTTTCCTAATCTAGGGAGATAAACTCAGTCTCTATTTCAGTAAGTGAAGTGTTTTACCCTTGCTACCTTACTAGTAAATATTCACATTCTCTAATACCTTGACATCCTTCATAAGTTGCTCAGAGTTGGTCGTAATACATCAGCTGCAGTCAAACCAGTGTTTATTTTGCTAAAGGTTGAACATAAACTCCTTGCTTTTGCTCTAAATGGACTGGATTTTCCCATTTGAGGCAAAGGATTTTGAGTGAGATGCACAGCCAGGACCCATGGTGTCTTTTCTCATGCAATTTCCATTCTTCACCTCGTTTATAATGCATTGGTATCTTGGGGCAGGGAATGGCACGTTAGCTCCTTGGTTCACTCATTGCAGGAAGAAGGTTAATTATTTCTGTAAGGTTAAGCGTTAGCATCTTCTTCTCTGCTACCTCACACTCGCACAGCCACACTCAGTCTAGCTGTGTCACTGCATATGTCTGTCACCAAGGATTATGGACAACTCTCACTACTATATACATCATGCCCACCCTGCTTACTGTTCATGCTCCGAACCACAAAAAATTGGGTGTTTCCTCTTCCACATTAAAAGGACTGCAAACAAAAGTTGGCAGCCCGAGCACGAAGTTAATAACTGATGTAGTAAACCAAAAACTATAAGACACATCCTGTGTAGATGCATAAGATGCATGTATGCCCCTGTGCACAAAACATAATAGTAGCATAGAAATCATTGATGCGCCTGAGCTCCAAAGTTAAGTACTGAAAGGCTGAAGTGGTGTGTGACGTAGTCCAAGAGTTGGCATAATGATGTGATGATACTTGTGGATGCTGACGACTGACTTGTGTGGATGAAGGATGGGGACTGACAATATCCATGGAGTATGCAGTGATGTTGTGATGAAGGTGGGCTTGCATAAAGGCCCAGAGAAGATAGCGTTGAGTTGCAACTTCCAGGTGGTCTGCTCTGATTTTCAACTCAAGAATTGGTGGCATCTAGTTTCTCAGGGAAGGGGATGAGAATTGAAAGCCTGCATAAAAAAAGCTACACATACATAGAAATAAGGTAGTGGCACTGATCAGCGAGATTTTGAAGTCATTGATTAAATTTAAAGTGGAAAAAGTGGAAATATTTTCATGGCGTACCTTTCCACTTCTTTGCATTTAACCGATTTATCTATATTCTCCTGAAGTCTGTTGCTATTCTATTCATGAATTTCTACATGCTAGGTTCATGCCATCTGCAGCCTTTGAAATTACATCTCATATGCCTGAATCTATTCATTAATTTATGTGAAATAAAAATAATCTCAACACCTGTTCGTGGGCAACCTATTCCAATTTGTCTCCAATTTCAAAGATACTGTTTTCAATTATTGTCAGCTTTCAGCAACCAATTTTGTATCTACAAAGTTAATGCCCCTTTAATCCCGAGAGCTCCAATTCTTTGGATAGTAAACATAGCAGTAGGCCATTCAGCTCGTCAAACCCACTGTGTTACTTAATATGAACATGCCTGATCAAGCTCTTCCTTTTTCTCCCCTCACGCTATCTTGATACCCTTTTATGCCACTAGGAGTTTAAAAAAATTATCAACTCCTACTTTAAACATACTCAAGGAGTAAATTTTCACACACTTCTGCAGAAGAGAATTCTAAAAATTCACTACCGCCTGAATAAAAGAATTTCTCTACATCTTGGTTCTAAATGGTTTCCCTTGCATTTTAAATTGTGCCTTCTGATTGTCGGCTCCACACCAGGGACAACATCTCACTCTCTTCTACTCTTTAACTATTCTGTAGCTTTCAATGAGACCAGCTCTCATTCTTGAAACCCTGGAGAACACAGATCCATTTCGCCCAATCCCTCTTCATTGGACACTCCCACTGTCCCAGGAATAAGTCTGGTGAACCTCTACTGTACTTCTTCTATGACAATGATATCCTTTCCTAAGATAAGCAGATCAAAGTTGCACACAGTACTCCAGGTGTGGTCTAACCAAGCTCTTATTGACTAAAACAAGACTTCATGACTCCTGTACTCAAATCCTTTTGTGATAAAGGCTAACATTCCATTAGCCTTCCTAAAAGCTTGGTGCACTTCAATGTAAGCCTTCATTAATTTACTGAAAAGGCCACATTTTGCGCATCTACACTTTCCAATCATTTAAGAAACACTTTGCACATCTGTTCTTCCTACCAAAATAGATAACCTCATCCTTTGAATGTTAATTCTTCTAGCAAATCTGAATCTGGTACTTGAAAACATTTTTTGAAAGCCCATGCATACAACTACCATCATCAACCGTATCTGTTACTTAGTGAAATGGAAATGTATTTAATTTTTATGTATCAAAGTCAAAATTCGCACATACATAACAGGCACCTTTCAAAGTATTGAAGGTTTTGGCAGCATTTGCAAAGAGGTATTTTATAAAGGATAAACATTTTTAGTAAAGAGGAAATAAATTCATTGACATTGTCAAGCCACGTTTCGTCTAATTTTTCCAGCCACTGGTCCATGCGCAGCAATGACTGGAGAAACTGGAGTGAGTGTGTCAGTATTACATTGGCAAGCCAAGTGTACAGACTCTTTGAGCAACTACGTGTTGTTGTTAAGAACTATTTGCATGATTTTTCTTTTAGTGTCTCATGTTTGTAGACATCACTTTCTCATTTTGCACCACTTAATCTTCCAATCAATTATAAATTAAACATCATAAGCGGATAAATTATGTCAAACCAAACAAACAGAACAAATATTTAACCAGCCACAAATTCTCATCTTAAATCACAAAGTAAGGAGAGATTAAGAGTTAGCCAGCTGTCTCTCAACTAAGAACAGAAAGGAGTTGGAGGAATTGTCACCAAAGGCACCTCCTTTAAATCACATCTTTCAAGGCTTGCAGAAGCTAGATTTTAATTCATTTCTTTAAACTACAAATTGATTCCTGTGTTGGACATTGTACACTTGAAAAATATTATAAAAGTGCAACATTCAAAACTTTGATTGCCAATTTCAAAGTACATTTTTTCCTGATGGGAACCTTTCTTAAAAAAAACCTAATCAGTAAAGAAATGTTCAAAATACTTAACCAAAAATGAAGACTTGTTTCTCAAAACTGTTTACCCGCATCTAAATGGTTTACCTAATTTTCTGGTTGACTTCACTTCGTATCTTCAGAACTTCATTTCCTTTGTATTCTAGCTCTTTGGTCAAGGTGCTTAAATTGTTATGCATAGACAGGCTCTCCTCATTCAGTTCTTTTATGTGGTCCTCACAATGCCGTACCTCCTCTTGTAGATTAGATATTCTGCTCAGTAATTCTTTCTTCTAGATTGTAAAAATAGTTTTATATATTAGCATGCATAAAGGTATAATTTTATGAAACGCACTTCCATTTTTAAACTCACTCAGTGGGATGCACAATATCCACCCAACTTTTATCTATCCACTTGTGGGTTGTGGGCAACACTGCCTGGCAAGCATTTATTGCCAGTCCCTAGTTACCCTTGAGAAGGTGGTAGTGAGTTGCCTTCTTGAACTGCTGCAGTCTATGTGCTGTAGGTAAACGCACAATGTCATTAGGGAGAGAATTTCAGGATGTTGACCCAGTGACAGTGAAGGAATGGCGATATATTTCCAAGTCAGAATGGTGAGTGTCTTGTAGGGGAATTTGCAGCTGGTGGTGTTTCCATGTGCCTGCTGCCCTTGCTCTTCTAGATGGGAATGGTTGTGGGTTTGGAAGGTGCTGTCTAAGGAGCCTTGGTGAATTTCTGTAGTGCATCTTGTAGATAGTGCACACTGCTGTCATTGAGTGTCGGTGGTGGAGGGAGTGGATCATGTTTGTGGATTAACATGAGAAATTCCAAAAAGCTCAAAAGGGACAAAATGGCTCAAGTTTCAATTCTACTTCCCCTGTCAAAAAACCCACAAACACAATGTGCACCAATTACGAAAACATTTCATTAATACCACAGCTCCAATCAATTCACTCTCCAGTTTATTCCTCATCTCCCGTTCACAAATACAAACACAATCACAATGATTCCATTAATGACTCAAATTAAATTTCCACAGAAGTAAGGGAGTAACAGAGAGAAAAGGGTGTTTTTTTCACAGAGAATACAAATGGTTTTCATGCGGTGATGTTTGAGGAGAGGTGACGGTATGTGTGAGGGCTGACAGCTGGAGGAATGTTTTACATCTATCCGCTTTCGAATTGTAAAGTACTCCTTTAGATCTAGTCCTGGGACAGGTTTGGTGGACCTAACACATTCTTTGAGAAAATTGAGAAAATTTCCAACTTGTTGGAAATAGGCAGCCTTTGGAACTGTAAAAAGGCAGGTTTGGAAATTAGATGTGTATAAACTCTGTAGGACCAGCAAAGTTCTCAATAAATGGTCCAAAAAAATTGGAGTTGGGAAAAACAGATAGCTATTTCAGAGTGCCTGTTCACACAAAATCATCATAGAATTTGTGCTGCGTGTCTGATTTCCCAAACTATCATAGTCACAATGAAAAGGGGAGACAGTGGCATTGTGGTGGACTAGTAATAGAGAACCCTAAGTAAAAACCGAAAGAACTGCAGATGCTGTAAATCAGAAACAAAAACAGAAGTTGCTGGAAAAGATCAGCAGGTCTGGCAGCATCTGTGAAGAAAAAAATCTGAGTTAACATTTCAGGTCCGGTGACCCTTCCTAAATTCTGATGTTCTGGTGAGATGAGCTAGAGACAATGGCAGATGGAGGTATTTGAATTCAGTAAAAATTGGAATAAAAGGCCAGCTAATGACAACCACGTAAACTCCATTGATTGTTATAAAATCCAACTATTTCAATTATATCCTTTAGGGAAGGAAATCTGCCATACTTATCTGGTCTGATCTACAAAAGACTCCTGACCACTGCAATGTGGTTGACTTTTAACTTTCCCAGAGTTATAAGGGATGGTCAAGAAACACATTTTTAAAAATTCACTCATGGGATGTGGGCGCTGCTGGTTGGGTCAACATTTGCTGCCTGTCCCTCGTCACATTCCATGAATGAATAAAGGAAAAAAAGGGACGCCTATTGATGGACAGCTCCAGCTACTTTTTGAATGGCATTACGTTCTTGATGCAAGGGATTAAGCATATAAGGGTTAAGCAATCGAGTGACATGCTGGTTTTCACGAGGGATTAGTTGAGGCAATTTCAATGGTATTGACATTTTTTTGTTACCAGTTCCCTGCCCTCCCCCCCATCCTCCACCCCCAAATACTGGCATAGTGGCATTATCAAGTTATCAACAGACACTGTTAGCATGTTTCCTAAGATTAGCCCACGGTGAAGTATTAGCTGAGTTGACATGGCAAAGAAATATCAAAGGGTTGTGGCTCGGAGAGTATAAATTCACATTGGCTCGATAAAAAGCCATGGGGATGATGGGTGGCATAGGGTGGCACAGTGTTAGGGCTGTGGGGTATGGGTAGATGAGTTTAGGGACTATCCAGAGCCATAGGTCTTATTAGACGGGATGTGCGTGTGAGAGGCCATAGAAATTGGTAGAGGAGCAAAGGGTGACATAGATCGAGCAAGGGGAGTTATTTTTATTTGATTTTTAAACTTTGTTTTTAAAGATTAAAGTTATAACTTTTAAACTTTAATCATTATGCTGGAGTCCTGGAGCAAGCTTTCTGCCCAGCCCACTGAGAATTGGCAGCCTCTTCAGTTCTTCCTGGGTCACCTCTATTAAAATTCAGCCTGCCCCAAATCCCCAGAACAAAAAATTATAAGTGCGGACAATGATTTTACAGTTTGGTTTCATGTATCTAGGATCACTCCTGACTCTGCACACCCAACCTAGGAATTAAAACTAGGTCTGAATCTGTGGTTGTGTACTAAAAACAATTAACAATTCCATAAATATACAAAAACAATTCTCCTGCACTTCCCAAATAATTGCTTACCATCCTTTAATTATTCCCCAAAATAGCAATTAAAATAGTTTGCAAGTACATAATGTCTCTGCAATTCGTGATAATATGGGAGTCATAAATCATCCTGGTAAGAAGTTAATTAGGTTGGAAATATACAAAGAATCTTGTTGGAATAATTAAATGACTCTGTGTTTAAATGACTCAATGAGTTTCAAGTGCAGGTACCATCATTTCTGAAAGAAGCAAAAGTTTAATTTGACAGAATCAAAGTTGACATGATTCCCATAACATTTTAAATTAAATGAGTGATAAACTGCACAAAAGGAAAATGCAAATGGAAGAGTTCCCAACTAATACATTCAACTTTTAAAAGGAAATTCATTTGTGTCAGTACAAATTATATGATGTAATTACTTATTGGCAAATTACATTTAATTTGAAGTGCACGCAAGTGAATTTTCGGTATTAATATGGCTGACAGGAAGTTATTTTAAAGTGTAAGAGCTAATGAACTGAGGATAAGTCAACAAAATAGAGCAATGTTCACAATTCCCAACATATAATTCTTAATTCATGTCATGGGGGAAGATTCTACATGAAGGGGATATTACTTGCAAAGTAGTGAAAGATGATGTTCAACAAAAGAACCCCCTTTATTATTTTTGTGCGTCCATGCTAACAGCACCAAGAAGTGAATATACTTCACTCCTATGGTTAGAAACTATATTACAACAGAAACCAACATAGAAGTAAAAGGTAAGTAAAAAAAAAAATTCAAGAAAAATATTATGTAATGCAAAACAAAAATCACTTCGGTCTTCTGGTTTAACTTCAAGGTCACATCAATTACTGAAACACAAATCTCATTCTGTGGTAAGATAATTATATTTGAAATAAACCACTCTGAACATCATGACTGAGTAGCACCATGTCTTGAGTTATTATTTAATATATGAAATAACAGTGTATAAATACAACTTTTCGTTCAAAAAATAGAATAATAAACTAACCCACCTGCTGTCTGTGCTGCTCAACAGTCTGATCTAATTCCATCCTCACAGCTGCCATTTCCTGCTGGTTATTTTGTTTCAGCTTATCCATTGCAACAGAATGCTGATAATTGAGATCTGAACGGAGAGAGACTGGAAAGACCATACAACATGGCATTGATATTTTCAACATCCTCTTAACGTAGTTCTAGGCTGTTGCCCAAATATATAAACTTAGGAAACAAAACTTACAAGAGAAAGGAAAACAAATTGTCAATATTACTCACGTCTCATAATAACATTTTTTAAATTACTCTACTACCTGAAGCTTTTAGAAAGTAAATATCATAAAGAATGCAATATCTATCTTGAGTTTTTTTATTTCAAGTCTTGCACAAGGTTAAAAAAAAATAAGAATGCTATGACATTATTCTTGTTGTTCTTTGTCCTGATAATCACCGTGGATCAAAACCTAACTTAGCGTTCAACAGATTTATGTTCAGCAAGAGATTAACTATTCTGCAGGAAAGTACAAACAATTAGTTATTAATATTGCAATACAAGTTATTTTAAAAAGGGAATGTGTTTTTTTTCCTCCCAGTTTTAAGAAAGGGAAGAACTGCTCTACATTATGGGTGATTTTGATAAAGCAAAGGGCAAAACCATCGACAAAGCTAAGTAGATATGTAGATATAAAGCTATTTTTAATAATGCCCCACCAGAAATAATACTACAAACAAATTTATAATAGATTTCAAAAGGAAGCAGATAAACATTTGATTAAAAGATGTTGGTAAAGCAACAAAATGGCTTTAACTGAATAGCCTAATTGCTCGATTGGCTGAATGTCCTTCGACTGAACTGCAAAATTCAATGATTTGCCGGTCATGCATAGAAATGAGCAACATAGAAATGAACAACCTAGAAATTAGTTAATATATCCATGTTGTAAGGGTAAAATGGACAACCAATCAACATGGCCGAAAGACGTTTTTGCTTGAAACGAGACAAACACCAAGCCACTGCAGGAGACATGATTAATCAGTAAAATTAAATACTTCCCAATCTTAAAACAGGTCTCTGAAGTCGCATTATTTTTTCTGGGGAACACATTTCTATTCATATAAAACTGAATAATTGCTTTATTGTAGAAGATTACTTAGAAATTATTAATTGAAAATGTGGAAATGAAATTTAAAAGACATTTCTATATATTTTCATTTACTTGCTGTCTGGGAATCAAAGTGCCAGTCCCAGAATCAGAGTGAGGTTAGACATTCTAAAATGCAAAAACGGTGTTGCCCTTCTCAGGTGGATCACTGATATTTCTGCAGTTAATTGTTTCCAGTAAATCCTTTATTCCAACTCAGCAGTTGCAGCTGACAGCTTATATTTTTGGGATGCCAATTCTGATTTCACGAGCTATGGCTTATTTCCACCAGTAGGAAGGGATGCAATGAGTGGTACCAAGCTGGTCAACGTACAGGACTGCTCAGCAAAGTTGCAACAGAATTCTTCCAGATTATTTTCAGTCCCATAACTTGGCGAGCCTGGAGCGAATCATATTGATTCTGGTACTAGTTCAAGTGATAGGGTATCAAATGTTACCACTGAAAACTGACTCCAATTCTGGGAAGTTGAGTAGAAGTTGAGAGCAAGAATCCAACTGAAGTCAGCTGATCAGCAGTTGGGTAGGGCAGCTCTGCAAGCCTGCCACTGGTTGTATTTTGCACGCAGCCATTGGCTGTATCTTTGATGTCAACTACAAGGTGCAATGCAGCAACTCAATAAGTTTGCTCTAACAATATCTTCCAAGTTTGTGGCATGTATCATCTAGCAGAATAAGTGCAGCAGACACATGAGGACACCACCACCAGCAAGTTCCTCTCGATTCTGACCTAGAACCAAATTGTTCCTTTAATTGTTTTGCTGGGTCAAAATCCTAGAACTCCCTTCGCTATAGTACTCATGGTATACCGACACCACATGGACTGTAGAAGTTCAACACAGTGGCTCAGAACAACTTCCTCAAAGGCATTTAAGGATGGAAAGTATTTGCTGACCTTGCCAGGTCAACTCTTACTCCACATATGAATTTAAAACAAACACTCATCACTGCTCAAGAGGAACATATGCCACCTTTAATAAACATGTTGATATGATTGTGCTACAATTCATGTAAATTAGAAGAATAACTTAAGAATACATACCAAGCTGAGGGCTCACATGGCACGCTAGTAGTATCCCTACCTCTGAGCAAGAAGGCTCAATTTCAAGACCCACTAGCTTCAGAGATGTGTAATAATATATCTGAACAAGTGGATTAAAACTATCTACATACCAAGCAGTAATTTCCCTTCATCCTGCAGCTCTGCCCTCAATTCCTGTAGTTGTTGCTTCGCTTCCTTTTGTAAAGCCTCCAAATTCATTCTCTCAGCATCCTTTTGAGCTTGTATGTCAATCATATGTTGCTGATTCAAACATTCTTCCAATTGCTGTAAGACATACTCAATGCAATTACATTCTTTGCTACTTCATTCAATTTCTTCTTTCATGGCTCTTTTCAGGTAACACAGTTAGATGGCAAATTACAATTTCAGATTTTCAGAAAAAGTAACATTTGTTCACACAGTGGTTTAGAGTTCAAAATACAAAATATACTCTTAACATTCTGATTACTACAATCTTTTATAACAGGGCAGTTCATGATCCATTTTGAAAATTTGAGACCATAAATTTTCAATTGGACACAGATGAAATTTCAATGAATTAGCAAGTCAACTACTGCATAGATAATCCTCCAATAAATTGACTGAAGAAAGACAAGAAATCATAAAGAATTTTATTTTAAACTTGTTGAAAACTTAAGTCAGCCTGATGTTGGAAGTACAATGCAGCAGGTCAATTGAAGGATAGCACAAGACCATAATAAAATGTGGGAGCAGAAAGTGCTCCATTCAGCCCATTGCGTCTGCTCCACCATTCAATGAGATCATGGCTGATCTGTTAATCCTCAACACTACTTTACTGCCTTTTCCCCATACCCTTTGATTCCATTATTGATTAAAAATCTCTCAGTCTTGAACAACGACCTAGCCCCAGCACCCTTCTGTGGTAAATAATTAAACAAATTCACTATCCTCTGCAATAATAAATCCTTCAACTCTGTTATAAAAGGGAAACATCTTATTCAAAGATTATGCGTTCTGGTCCTAGGCTCTCCCAGAATGCGGTAAAAGCCTTATGGCATCTAATCTGTCAAATCCCCCAAGAACCACGTTATGTTTCAAATTAAGTCACATCACATTTTTCTAAATTCCAAAGATTACAGGCCGAAAGAACTCAGTCTCTCCTCAGAAGATAGTCCCTCCACACTCAGGATGAGCCTAGTGAACCTTGTCTAGACTGCCTCAAATGCCAGCATGTCTTCCTCAGATAAGGGGCCCCAAAACTGTTCACAGTATTCTAGCCTTGTACAGTTTTAGCAAAACATCTACCATTTACCACCTTCCCCATCTCCGCTCCCCCCCCCAACCCACCCCCACCTCTTTCTACTCCATTCCCTCTGAAATACAGGTTAATATTCCATTTGCTTATCCCTTTACCTGCGGAACTAGTATGTCATTGTGTGATACCTTTTCAAATGCCCTCTGAAAATCCAAATGCATTAGATCCACTGCTTCCCATTACCTGCTTGTTCCTTCCTCAAAGAATTCTAATAAATTTGTCAGACATGATTTCCCCTTTGTGAAGCCATGTTGACTCAGCTTGATTATATAATGCATTTCTAAACACTTTGCTATCACATTCTTTATACCAGATTCCAACCTTTCCCCAGTTGCAGACATTCAGCTACCTGGCCTTTATCTGTTTTTCAACCTCTTCACATTTTAAATAAAGTTTTACATTGGCAGTTTCCAGGATCCAAGTATTCTTGGAGAATTATTAACAGTCATCCACTATCTCTGTAGCTACTTCTTTTAGTATCCTAAGGTGCATCTTATCAGGTCCAGGAAATTTAATTGTCTTCAGCCACATTTGTTTCCCCATGCATTTTTTCTCTAGTTATACTTATTATATTTGTTTCCTCTCCTCTTTTTGCCTGAGTATTTAATAATTTTTGTGCAAGTTCTACCATGAATATCAATGCAAAGTGTTTATTCAACTCCTCTGCCATTCCCTGGTTTCCCATTATTAATTCCCTAGCCTTGGTCTCAAAGTGGTCTATTTGACTTTGGTCTCTGTCTCTCTGCCTTTTTATGAATTTAAAGGATCTCTTTACATCCATTTTGATATTACTTACAAGTTTACCCTCAAAGATTATCTTCTCCCCCTTTATTATTTTTTGGGTTGTCTTTTGCTGTTTTTGTTTTACAAGTTTTCCCAATCTTCTGGCTCTTTGCCACATTGTACTTTCTTTGCCCTTTAAATTTGATACTATCCCTACCTTCCCTGTTAACCATGAACATAGAACATAGAGCTGCACAGCACAAGAAGGGGCCCTTTGGCCCATAATGTTGTGCCGAGCATGATGCCAAATGAAACTAATCCCTTTTGCCTGCCCTTGGTCGATATCCTTCCATTCCTTGCATATTTGCGTGCTTATCTAAAAGTCCCTTAAATGCCCTTATCGCATCTGCCTCCACCAACATCCCTGGCAGTGCATTCCAGACTCCTACCACTCTCTGGAAAAAAAAAACTTGTCCCTCAAGTCTCCTTTGAACTTTCCCTCTCTAACCTTAAATGCATGCTCCCTAGTATTAGACATTTCAACTCTGGGAAAAAGATGCTGACAATCAACCGTATCTATGCATCTCATAATTTTATAGACTTCTAACAAGCCTCCTTCCCAGCCTGTGCCACTCTACAGAAAACGACCAAAGTTTTTCTAGCCTCTCCTTGTAGCTCATACCCTCTAATCCAGGTAGCATCCTGGTAAACCTCTTCTGCACCCTCTCCAAAGCTTTCACAACCTTCCTGTAATGTGGCAACCAAATCTGAACACAGTACTCTAAGTGTAGCCTAACCAAAGTCTTATAAAGCTGCAAATATGACATCTGGACACTTGTACTCAATTCCCCGACCAATAAAGGCAAGCATGCTATATACCATCCTATCTACTTGCATGGCCACTTTCAGGGAGCTACGGACTTGAACCCTAAGATTCTTCTGTATATCAATGCTGTTCAGAGTCCTGCCATTAACTGTATATTTTTCCTTAACATTTGATCTCCCAAAATGCAGCACCTCACACTTACCCGGATTGAACTCCATCTGCCATTTCTCCACCCATATCTGCAACTGATCTACGTCCTGCTGTACCTTTTGATTCCACCAATCTTTGTATCATCTGCAAACGTACTAACCCAACCATCTACATTTTCATTCCCTTGGAGACAGTAAGGACTGCAGATGCTGGAAGCTAGAGTCAATAAATGTGGAGCTGGAAAAGGACAGCACATCAGACAGCGTCCAAGGAACAGGGAAGTCAACGTTTCCGGCTGAAACCCTTTGTCAAGACTGGGGAGCCCAGAAATAAATGGGGGGAGGGGTAGGTGAAATGGAGACAGGTGGATGCAGATAGGGGATTATTGTGGTTGGTCAGTGGGAAGGGTAGAGTGGATAGGTGAGTAGGAAAATCGACAGGCTGGGGGATGGTAAGATTTTGAAGCTGGTGAAGTCAATATTCAGGCCACTGGGCTCTAAGCTCCTGAAGCAATACATCAGGTGTTGTTCCTCCAGTTTCCGTTTCGCCTCACTCCGACAGTGGGAGGCCAAGGATGGACATGTCATCAGGAGACTGGGAGAGGTAGCTCACTCTGAATCCCATGTGATCCAACTTTACTAATTAGTTTCCATGCGGACCCTCATCAAAGGCTTTACTAAAGTCCATGTAAACAACATCTACCGCTCTGCCCTCATCAAACTTCTTGGTTACTTCCTTAAAAAACTTATTCAATTTTGTGAGACATGATTTCCCTCACACAAAACTATGCTGGGTATCCCTAATCCTTGGCTCTCCAAGTGCATATAAATTCTATCTTTCAGAATCATCTCCAACCACTTAGCCACCAAAGTCAGACTCTCAGGCCTACAGTTCCTAGGATTCTCCTTACATCCCTTCTGAAACATAGGCACAAATTAGCCACTCTCCAGTCACCTGGCATCTCACTTGTAGTCATAGGTGACACAAGTATTTCTGCAAAGAACTCTGCAATTTCATCCCTAACTTCTCACAATGTCCTGGGGTACACTGGATCATGTCCTGGAGATTTATCAACTTTTATATTTTCTAAGACCTCCAGCACTACTACTTCTATACTGTGAACTGTTTTCAACACATCACTGTTTATTTCTCAGAGGTCTCTAACGTCCATTTCTTTCCCCACGGTAAAAACTGATGCAAAATATTCATTTAATATCTCTCCCATCTCCTGAGGTTCAACACAAAGGCGACCTCTTCGATCTTTAAGGGGCCCAATTCTCTCTCTAGTTATTCTCTTGCTCTTAATGTATTCGTAGAATTACTTTGGATTATTCTTAACCTCATCTGCCAAGGCTATCTCACATCCCCTCTTTGTCTTCCTGATCTTCTTGGAGGCATAAGGGGGCAAGCACAGGCAGGTGGGACTTATTTAGTTTGGGATTATAGTTGACATGGACTAATTGGGCCAAAGAGTCCGTTTTTGTGCTGTATGACTCTATGCTTATGATTAGAAAACTGCTAATGTGACATCCCTTTTCAAAATGAGAAGGAGGCACAAAGTGGGTAACTACAGGTTGATTAGCCTAACATCTAGTGTTGGAAAAGTATTGGAATCAATTACTGAGGAAGCCATAGCAGGATATTTGGAAAATTATAATCTAAATCAAGAGACTCATTTGAACCCAGTTGTCTATAACCAATATATAATTCCTTTTTACTCTTGACAAGATCCTCAATATCTTTATTCATCTACTGTTCCCTAATCCAACCAGCCTTATCTTTCACTCTAACAGGAACTCTAATGACTCTGAACTCTAGTTATCACACTTTTGGAAGCCTCCCTGTTATCAGATATCCCTTTACCTGTGATCAACTTTTACTCCAATCAACTTTTGAATGTCATCTCAGGCTATTAAAATTTGCCTTGCTCCAATTAAAAGCTTTAACTTTTATGTAAGGCTTATCCTTTTCCATAACTATTTTAAAACTAATCGAATTATGATCACTAGACCCAAAGTGTTCCCCTACTATCACTTCAGTCACATGCCCTTATTATCCAAGAGAAGGTCATGTTTTGCTCCTTCTCTGGTAGGAACATTGACATATTGATAAAGAAAATTTTCTTGAACACATTTAACAAATTCTTCACCATCCAAGTCTTTAACACTATGGTAGTCCCAGTCAATGTTTGGAAAATTAAAATCACCTATTGCAACCTCGTTATTCCTACAAATTTTGGCGATCTCTCTACATATTTGATCCTCAATTTCCCTCTGACGCTGAATCATC